CTTGTTTCCTTAGAAGAATAGCTGACCCTGTCCCACCCCTGAGTCACAGAAATATCAAGTCCCTTTCAGCGCAGTGAGGCTCCGTGTGTGTCTGCCTCTTGCCTTCAGGCGTTTACTTCTCATTGGTTCTTCTAAAAAGGAGACAGACAGCAGTAAATACCCTCAATGGCACAATTTTTTTTTAAACAATCTTTTTTAAAAAATATATTTTATTGATTTATTACAGAGAGGAGAGAGAGGGATAGAAAGTTAGAAACATCGATGAGAGAGAGTCATCAATCAGCTGCCTCCTGCACACCCCCACTGAGGATGTGCCCGCAACCAAGGTACATGCCCTTGACTGGAATCGAACCCGGGACCTTTCAGTCCACAGGCCGACGCTCTATCCACTGAGCCAAACCGGTTTCGGCCTCAATGGCACAATTTTAACCTTTTGTCCATTTTCATAAAAATGGACCTTTCCAAGATCCTCTGAGTGAATTTAGAGAAAGTTTTAAACACTCTCTCCCGAAAAATGCACACACCTAAAATGATAAATTTTACTTCAGTGGCTTGTGAAACCCATCAAGAAGCCCCGGGCCACTGATAGGGCCTTCAAACAAAAGGCCATCAGGAGACTTGAGACATTCCTGAGTGTTCTCACCATGCTGTCTCTGTTTCCAAAATCAGAGGGAGGGGAAGAGGCCAGGTTCAGGGCCTATGGAAACTTGGAGTGCTGCCCAGAACAGCTGCTGGCAACTCTGCAGAGCCTTCCAGAGTAACTCAGGTGTCACTACTCCACGGCAGCAGCAAAGCAAATGCCAAATCACCCACCTTGTGAATGGGCGGCAGAGCCCTTAGGAGGCAGGGGGAGGCTCTGCCTCCTGACCACCTGGCATGCTACATGTATGTTCCCCGGCTTGCTTAGTGTCCGTCCCATGACCAAGAAAACTCCATGCAGACAAAGCCTTAGCTTGGTTCACATCTATACTGTATTCTTGTTCTGTCCAAGCCAAAGCAGCAGGTCCCAACAGTCTGGAAGTTTAGGCAAGAGATTTAGGCCATTACAAAGAGACTTCTGTAAGGCATACAGGAGACATTCCATGCCCTGGGGATCTGATGGTGAGAAGAGTGAACTGATGGCAGGAGGAACAGGGACAGCCTCTGGGATCAGGCAGAAACACAAGAGAGGGGCCTACAGTCCACATGGTGAAATCTCAACAACAGGCAGCCACAAATCTGAGTACATCTGGGCAGCCCCAGTGCACTGACCCTGCCTCACTCATAGTGCATCTGGTCATGTGAGTGGTCCACACGCCCCTGAGGGAGCAGAAAGGGAACCAGCACTCCCTCCCCCTCAGACAGAGAACCCGGGTCACCTTCTGCTGCCACTCCCAAGGTCACCTCAGCAACCTCGGATGGCCCTGCACTGCCGCAGGCACACGCCAAGGGCTTGCACTTGACAACACTGAGAGGGAGTGCTTATTATCCCACTGAGCAGGAGAAAAAGCCGGTGCCCCAGAAAGACGGACACGCCTGTCCCCACTTGCTCCCTCTTAGTCTCGGGTTACCACGGCAGCCTGCCTTGGGCTGGAGCCATGGATTCTCCCACACACGGTGTTTCTTTTCTGACACCCTTCGGGTCCCGGGCCTTTTCCTCCAGCATGCCCCCTGTCTGAGCACCTTCAGCCATCACCCTGCCTCCTCACACTGCCTCTCCCCTCCAGCTCCCTCAGAGAAATGAGCTCCTCTTCGCCCTGGGCTTCAGGAACACCCGCACGCCCATCTCCTGCTCAGACAGCTGCCCCAACTGTTGGCCTGCTTCTCGGGAGGGTGATTGTTCCCACCCCCTTTCAGCTGCCATTTCTCTCCCTTCCTGACTTCTCCGGCCTCTTCTACACGGGGAGGGGACACCCCCTTAGCCAGCCCTTCCCACGGGGACAGGGCTCTTGAGGTCTGTTCTCCAGCGCCCTACCCCTGGGATCTTTCTCTTCTTTCAGCCTTCTCTGAACCTGTGACTCAGGAGGGCCATTCCTGACCTGAGCATCACCCAGCCACTGGCTTAGCTGTGGTTCCCTCCACCCCACCCCGTAACCTGAAATTAATCATCACATCCTTTACAATTTGTCCTTATTTAATGTTACTCACAACAGCCTTCGTGACTTCACAGAGTATGCCTGATTGAAACTTTTAAAAAACTGGATGGATCTCCCACATTTTACACCGCTGGCAGAGCTAGCCTGCCAGGAGCATCAGTCACCGAGGGGAAAATACGGACAGTGAAGAATCAACCACTCACTGCTCTTTAAAGAAAGTGGTTTGGGCACACAACTGAAAAGAGTTCTTAGGGGTAGAACAGGCAGGCTTCGGGAGTTTTAGAAATAAAGAGGGTCCATGGGGGAGGACTGCAAAGCTGGGGGCTGGGAGCTGCCAAAGGCATACATTCCCAGAGAGAGAAGAGATGCCACAGCCTAAGGGGAGAGGAAGACATCCATTCACAGAAGACCGGGGAAAGCCACTAGGAGCAGAGAAACAAAAGGGAGAGAGAGGAAAACAGATTTTCACAGGGACAGAGAAGGCTACCACAGAGAGAGGAGATAAAGGGGGCCCACGTGGGGTTTGAGCTTTGAAGCTGCTATAGGGACCTATCAGAGGGGACTATCAGGACCCAAAGAACTGCTGCCTTTATAAACCTTAGGAAAAGGGAGCTTAGGTGGTCACTCCCTTGGGACCCGCTCCCCACGTGGGAGTCTGTGCTTGTTTTCCAATAAATTTCCACTTTTCCCTATACCACCTTTTGTCCGTGGCTTCATTCTTCAACTCCACCTGGACAAGAACCCAGGAAAGAAATCACCTTTGTATCCTACTCAGAGAAAAACCACGCTTTTCAGTTTGGTTTCCGCATTTCACAACTAAATAGGATTGGGGGAGGAAGTTCCAAAATAGGATACTTTTTTATTAACAGAACTAAAGGCCTGGTGCACGAAATTCATGTGGGGAGGGGGGTTCCTTCAGCCCAGCCTGCATCCTCTCCAATTTGGGACCCCTCAGGGGATGTCTAACTGCCACAGGGATTGGGCCTAAACCAACAGTTGGACATCCCTCTTGAAACCCGGGACAACTGGCTCCTAACAGCTCGCCATCCTGCCTGCCTGATTGCCCCTAACTGCCCTCCCCTGACAGCCTGGTCGCCCCTAACTGCCCTCCCCTGACAGCCTGATTGCCTCCTAACCGCCTCTGCCTCACCCCCGACACCATGGCTTTGTCCAGAAGGCGGGCAGGATGACCAGAAGATGTCTAGTTGACCCGGTCTAATTAGCATATTGCACTTTCATTAGTATAGATAATAAATGGCTGATAATTGGAGCTCATGAGACACTCTTGTCAGGTATCACAGAATTCATGGAGTCTGGAGACTAGAAAGCTAGGGGTCAGCGAATCCAAACTCACCATTTACAGACAAGGAAACAGAGACCAAGTTTGCCAAGGTCATAGCTTGGCACCTGGGCCTTAGCTTGCAAGTTGTTTATAAGGGTATTAAGGAAGGGGAGGGGGGGAAGGGAGAGGGGAGAAAAAGAGGGTAAAGCAGGAAAAGAGAGGACAAAGAAAATGAGAAAAGCGAACTATTGAAAACAAAATTGAAAGTGGAATTTAGCACTTGGTCAGAAATTGGGCTATAAAAAAATAAAACCTTGCTTTTAATCAGGTATTTCTTTTAAAAGCTGATTTACCTTAAAGAGAGTTATTCATCTCCAGATTTTACATTCCTAGGATATAGCTAAAATTTAGCTCCATTTTTTAGGCACAAAGAAAATAAACTGTCAAGTGTTCCTAAGACTCCCTATGTGGTTTTGAAATGCAGTTCCAGTTCCCAGTTCCACTTGCTAGCTGACCATTATAGCACACCTCTTCCTAGACTCCTCCCTGCCATGGGACTTACCGCACTCAAAATGGAAACCCCCAAACAAAAACAAAACAATGCCACTTCCAGTTCCGGCTACAGTGACCTGGGGCATCTTCTACTTTCTCACGCTGCTGCTGTGCAGAAAACCTGGAACAGGTGACCTCCTCCTCCGTCCAGCCCACCCTGTCCGGGAGGCTTGGTGTGTAGCTGCCACACTGCACTCACTCCTCGGCGATGTCGTTTATCTGTGGACATGTCTGTCTCCCCCTCCCCAAGTCTTCAAGGACCCACACCCCATCTTACTCATCTCTGATCTCAAGCCTTACCAGGGCCTAGCCCATAGCAGACAGCGCCTTAGCACATATCTGTGCCACTGCAAGCCCCAAGCTATAAAAACATCAGACTGGAGAACATCTGCACATGTGAACAGGCCTCTCTGGCCTCCCCAGGCTTTCCTTAGCAAACCCCATCCCCCATACTTCCCACCCCTTCACCCCCCTATGCTCCCAACCCCCACCCCTTATCCTCTCACCAAGCAAAGGACCTAAGTTTCTTCCCAAACACAGTGTTCTTGTGTGTGCTCCTCTGAGTGGTTCCAAGTTCCGATTTTCTACAAAAGCTTTCATTTCTAAAATTTCTCATTCACATTTTATGTGTAACATTGTTCAGAAGAGAGAAATGCAGCCTTAATGGCAAAACAGAAAACTTGTGCTATAATGATAGCAATTCACACTTCTTGAGAGCTTCCTGTGTGTAGGCACTGTGCTGAGCTTATGCAAAAGTGGCTACTTTACCTCCCAGCAGCTGGAAATGGGTACACAGCCCTTCCTTTCCTTTTCCTTCCTTTTCTTTAAGAGGCTTCCTGAGCCAGTTTTCTACTACAATGAACCCAGGCAAATAAGATTTTCTCCCGCTTCTCCACAGTCAGACTATGGATCTTAATACACTTTCCATTTCTCTGTGCCTAAATTTTCCTCAAGGCATACATGGTGAACCCAAAGCTTTGAGGTGCGTATGGTGAGTAGGGTGGAAAAAAAATTTTTTTTAATTATATATATATATATATATATATATATAAATTAAAACAAATCCATTTGGGACACGCCATGCTTTATAGCATTTCCAGCTGCTCTGCTGCCCCTGCACATCGAAGATTTGCCAGAAAAGGAAAAGCTGAAGATGGAAGTTGAGCAACTTCGCAAAGAAGTGAAGTTGCAGAGGCAACAGGTGTCTAAATGTTCTGAAGAAATAAAAAACTACATTGAAGAACGCTCTGGAGAGGACCCTCTGGTGAAAGGCATTCCAGAAGACAAAAATCCCTTTAAAGAAAAAGGCAGCTACGTTATTTCATAAGTAACTCTGGGGAGAAACTTCATCCTCAGTGGAAGAACTAGCTTATTTTAGTTTTCCGAAATAAAACCGACGTGCCTTTTAGAGAAGGAAAAACTAAATTAAAAGCGGACTTTTCTCAAGCACTCACGTAGATACGGTTTTGTATAAAAGCTATGTGCTTCTCATCTTTGCTCACTCCCCACCCTCTTTAAGGGGGCAGAGAGTATCGAATGTACAATTATGGAAATAAGGACATTACTTGTGCATGACTCAAATAAAGTGTTATCGCTGGAAAAATAAAAAATAAAACAAATCAGGGCATCTTCCTAAGATGAGATGCATTTGATGCTACTTCATGCTTCTAACAAGTCTTAACTTGCATTTTCCAAATGTTCTCTCCACCCTGGATCACCATCCACCTTAGCCGTGTGGGAAATACTGGGAGGGACAGAAAGCCCATTTCTACCCTGTACGGGCGCACACACTCCTCTGCTGGCCTAGATAAACAGGACTGTGTGCGTTCCGCTTTTCTTTCGGGAGGTGGGAAGTATTTTAAATTTCTGAACCTGAAGTCACCTCACCGGACTGCAACTAGAAGGGGGGACAGCTGGCCCTCAAAGCGCTGCTCCCCGCAGGGTTCGCAGGGTGGTCTCCAGACCAGCAGTGTCAGCAGCCCCAGGAGGCGTCAGCTCCCAGGCCCCACCCCACCTACTTGCCTCAGAAACCCAGGGGGTGAGCGGAGCACAAGGTGTTTTCACAAGCCTCAGGGTGACTGTGATACAGCTGAAATCTGAGAGCCACCAGCTTAAGCTGATAAACCTCCAAGGTCATGGGAATGCCCTGCTGGGCTGCCCTGTGTTTCACAACTAGACATAAATCATGTCCCTCCACCGACAGCACCTACTCTGGTCATTGTGCCAACTGGCAAAGGCCCCAAACGCCAAATTCCATCAAAGCACTACTTCTCTGTTGGGCAAATCCGCTGTGCCCCGCTCTCTTCCGTTCTAAAAAGGGGGTAGTAATAACCATCTCATAGGACTATCAAAAGGGTCAAGGCAAGGGCTTAGTCTTAGTGCCTTGTAGGTGGTTAGCCCTCAACACATATGAATCCCTATGACGACACCTTTGTCAGAACTAGAAATACAGCAAAATGCCACTTTAGTCCTGTGTGCTAACCCCCTGACCTCTTCTATCCAGCCTTTCCGGAGCCCTGACCAAGGACATCCAGATGGAGAGACGGCACGTGACCCACTATCAAACATGTACTTATTTAAGTCTGCAGCCTGAGTGCCCATCACGTGCCGGCAATGTGCAGGGAAGCCCACTCTGCAGGACTGTGCCTCCAGCAAGTCTTTCTGGACAAAAGCCATCAACTCTGGGGCAGAAGACCTCACGTACCGACCCCAGTAAGATGGGAGAGAAACACAATGGGTAGGAACTAGTCATCACAAAAAGAGCTAACACCTTAGAGTGATTGTCTTGTGCCAAGAACTAAGTGCTGGGCATGTTAATTTATGTTGTTCTCACAACAACACTGTGAGGCACCTGCTGTTACCACACCACTCTCCAAGGTTGGGAACTAAGGTGCAAGGGTTTACCTAACCTGCCTAAGGCCCCACAGCTCCTAAAGTAAGGCCAAGATCTGAACCCAGGCATTCTAGCTCCAGGGTCAATGCTCTTAACCGCTGTATTGTATGTAAGACACTAGTTATCTAGGCATCTATTAGCCACTTGTTATCACTGATTGCAAAGCACTTAAATTTAGGGACAAAATCCACTGTCGAAGGGTTCAATAGGCCCTCAAGGCACTGGCAGAAATACTAATTATCCTTGCTTTCATCAGTCCCACCTCTCCCCCTAATCCAATTCTACCCAAATCAAGTCAAAACTCTTCCAGAGCAGCATTTATCTTTCTCATAACTCCCCTGACATCACACCACTTAACCCCTAATTATACACCATCTGCCACATAGCGTTCTCTGATTCTTGTATGTGTCTTTTCTTCCCCACTGGACTGTAAAATTCTTTGGAATTATCTCTGATTTCTGTGAAGCTCCACTAAACTAGGTAGGCGCACAGGCTGCATATGCAGACTTAGAGGGTGTTACACGATTAACTGATTAGGTTGTTCACTTTGCTTTTCAGACACTTCTTTGCTATCAATCCCTAAGAGGCAGAATAAAGGTATGAAGTTTATGCTATTCAAAGCCAGCATTAGAGAGGTATTACACCAGCATTCACTGAGCAGCAACTGCTCCAAGATCTGTCCTCCCTGCCTCTCCTACATTATCTCATTTAACCCCCTCAACAGCCTCCTGGAGAGGCTTCTGGATTCAGTCTGAGTGAGGAAGGTACTGCTGAAAGGTAACTTGCCCAATGACTCTCAAGGCTGGTGAATGGGAAACCAATACTGAAACTAGATCTGTCCCCAAAGCCCCTACCCTGCCTTCCTCTAAGGTTCAGACTCAGAAGCCCACACTCAAATCTCCTCAAAGCAACATATCACCTTTGTAAAAAAAAAAAAATTTTATTATGGGAGAAAAATTTTAAAACTCTATTAAAAAGTCATTTTTAAAAGATGGCATGATAACCATGTTAGCGGAAAGAATTCCAATATTAGCACAGAAAAGGTGTCAATTCTCCCCTGTTGAATTATACATTGAATGCAATGCCAATCACATTTCCAGGACTTTGTTGAGAACTTGACAAGCATTACAAAATGTATATGGAAGAGAAAAGGTCCACAAACAACCAATTCTGAAAAAGAGGAGCCATATAAGACACACTGCAAAGCTTGTGTGTCTTTTTATTAATAAAAATAACCTGGCCTATAAACAGACAGCTACGACTAGAACAGAACACAGAACTCAAAAGCAAACGCCCATTAAGAATTTCAAAATCAGTATGTTGGGTTTAATGTGAACAGTTTCAATCTGGGCTGAGGGGAAAGTTCTGGAGATTGACGGTGATGATGGTTGTACAACACTGTGAAGGTACTTAATGCTACTGAATTGTACACTTCAAAATGGTTAAATGGTAAGTTTATGTTATGTCTCCTTTGCCACAATTTTTTAAAAAGATTTTTTAAAAACCTGTATGGCCGAAACCAGTTTGGCTCAGTGGTAGAGCGTCAGTCTGCAGACTGAAAGGTCCAGGGTTCGATTCCGGCCAAGGGCATGTACATTGGTTGTGGGCACATCCCCGGTGGGGGGTGTGCAGGAGGTAGCTGGTCGACGTTTCTCTCTCATCGACGTTTCTAGCTCTCTATCTCTCTCCCTTCCTCTCTGTAAAAAATCAATAAAATATATTTTTTAAAATAAAAATAAAAATAAAAAACCTGTATGTTAAGTGAAAGAAATCAGATGCACAAAAAGTACCAGACTGGATGGTTCCATTTATATAAAATTCTGGAAAATGCAAACGAATTGGTCGTGGCAGAAAGCAGACCAGTGGTTACCCAGATCAGGACAGAAAGAAGGATGAAGGCAAAGGGGCCCGAGGAAATTTTGGGGTAATGAAAACGCTTTGTATCTTGTTTGTGTGGTTGTCTCATAGGTACGTTCATTTGTCAAATTCATCCATTTGTATACTTTAAATGGATGTAGTTTACCATACATAAAGTGAAAATATGGACTTGATATATGCTTGAGAAAACCTGATGTATGATAAAGGATGCTACACACAAAAAAAAAATTAGGAAAAGAGTACTGCTTAACAAATTATTTGGGGGTAACTGGCTCACGTAATAGAAAGGGAAAAAATAAAGTTTATTCCTCTTTATGCCATAAATGAAGATAAAATTCAAGGAGATGAAAGCTCTCATTGCAAAAAGTAACTAGGGAGCTGATAGAACAGAATATAAAGTATCTTTGTAACCTTGGAGAAGGAAGAACATCTTAAGACTCCTAAAGTGCAACATAAGGCAAAAAAATTAATGGATTTGGGCTATATTAAAACTAAAGCTTTCTGACAGTTACCATTGACAGACAGATGGCAGAACGGGATTTCTATCTAGAATATGCAAGAAACACCTGCAAACCAATGCATTAGAAAAACAGACTAAAGCTGATCAAAGATACTGTAATGGCTAACAAATATATTAGAAGATACTCAAATTCATTAATAAACTTACATTAAAACAAGATGCCACTTTATAGCCACCAAATATTGGCAAAATTAGGAAGATGGCTAATATCAACCACTAGTGAGGAAGTGGGGAATCAGAAATCGTATGCACTGTTGTGTGAGTGTCAACCACAGCACCCACACTGGAGAAGAATTTGGCATATTTATTACCACCCACCTCACTCATGAGGAGGTTCTTTCCCATGCATGAGACTCTTAAGGCTGGACATGACCAAACAGAAACTGATGGAGTTTTTCCCGGGGTTTCTGATTTAGGAGGAGTACATTGGGGCCTGAGAATCTGCAGCAGCTCCCAGGTGATGCTGCTGCTGCTGCTGCTACTGGGTGTGGACCACTTTGAAAACCGCTAGCCTAGAGATAATCTCACAAGTATCATCAAGAAGCTGCTACAGGAAATTTGCTCCCAGTAGCTGGCGTGGAGGCAAGATACTGGGGGGTGCACAGCAGGCCAGCCATAACGCGCAGCAGTCACAGCAACGCACTAGATCTCACAAATGAAACGTTGAATGAAACTCTTTCGACTTTAATGAATGTCTGAAATTTTCTGTAATAAGAAGTTTTAATGTTGACTGAAAAAGAAACTGAATGAAAGCTATAGAACAATGCCATTAATGTAAATTGAAAACATGCACAAAATAATGCACATCTTTAGCAAAGACACAGATATATCCATGAACATATCCAACACAGAAGAGCAGGCTCCTCTGAGAGGAATAGGAGTGGAAAGAAGTATTGCACAGGGAGAGAATCTTGTGCCAAAACCTGAGGAATGTTCACCAACCCTTCAACAGAAGCAGGGAAGGAGTTCAACTTGGGACTTCCTGATTACCAGCGCCTGGGACATCCAGGTAGACATTCTAGTAGGCAATGGTGCATACGGTGCCAGGTAATCGTTAAATCGGTATGAATCTAACCCCTTCATTCTCCCACCCCCAAATTTCCCTCTCCTTCATTTCCATGAATCTCCTAACCCAACAAGCCTGGCTTTCTCCACCCAGCCTCTCCACCTTAAGATATGACTGTATTTGGGATTAAGGTCAAATGGGTGAACCTAACCCAATAGGACTCTTTTTCCTATAAGAGGAAGACACACAGGGATTCAGGCACACAGAGGAAAGGCCATGTGAGGACACAGCAAAAAGGTGGCCATCTGCAAGCCAAGGAGAGGGGCCTCAGGAGGAATCAACTCCACTGGCACCTAGATGTTGGGATTCCAGCCTCTATAGTCCTGAGAAAATTCCTATCTGTTGTTGAAGCAAAAACAAACACCAAAGCTATCCCTAAATGCCCACTCTCCTGCACTGAGATACAATGGTTACCAACTTCAGTGAAAGCCCCAGGGCTTTGCAGGCTAAGGAGGCAGATAAGCTTGCCTGAGAGAGGAAAGGGGGATCTTTATGAAATACAAACTTAAGGTGATGTCAGTCCTGAATTTTCCCTCTTTGCCATTTTAGTATTTTTAAAGAATCTGGGGTTCTTGGCTTTCTACCTCTGTGCCTGTGTCTCTTCAGTGTGTGTCTGCACCATTGCCTACTAGAATGTCTACCTGGAGGGTAGCAGAGCATTCCAGTGGAAACTGAGCCACCCTTGTTGATGAGCCATTCAATTCCTTTTTACTGAAACAGAAGTCACAGTTACAAAACCCAGCCGTCTTCCTGTTCCCATTAGCCCTTCCCCTTTCTTCGCTCTCCCCTCACCCACAGCCAACACTGCTCCCCTACTCCCACATCCAAATGGGCTAATCCAAAATATGATCCTCTGCTGATTATGCAGCTTACTAAAGGAACAAACTTCGCAGCCCAAATTCCTGGAATGTGCCAGGCAGCGATACAAGACCATTTATATTCCTGACCGAGAGCCTTTATCGGAAACTCCAAAATCCTTAAGACTAAGAATGCCATATGGGTCTTCCATAAGAGATTGCTGTGACTACCATCCAAAAAGGGGCAAAGAAAAAGCTTTTTATAATCAGTTGTGACCTGGCCACAGCTTTTTCCAAAGACCATCTAACAGTGTATCGTACAAAGTAGTGGCAAAGTGTGTGAGACACTAAGAAGAGAAAAATCCCCACTGAGTGAATTTGTGTGAGAAAATACAACAGATCCTCCCGGCAGCAGCTTAAGTAAGCAAGCCCATGCCAGGAAAGTATGTCTTTAGGGGAAGAAGAAATAGCTAGACAACTAGAGGAAGGGGAAGAGCGAAGGTAAAACACAGAGTAATGAGTGGGCCAAACACTCATACTTCCCCAGAAGACTGGGGAGATTACTCCCCTGTGCAAACAATCCCTGAATTTTTATTCCCAAAACACTGTCTTTTCTACAATAGCACTTTCCATTGGGTGGTAAAGGTTTGGAGATTCTAGGGTTTTCCTGGAATGTTTTGTATAAAATAAAGTTCTGTTAATAAAGTCTATTTGATAGGCAGCAGGCATACTTTTTAGTGTTGTTGTTTTTTTAGTATAACAGTTATACATAAGAATCCTTTAGATTTTCATGAGATAGGTTAGCAAAGCATGCCCACGTTTTTCCAGCTGAGGTACAGGATCTGCTACAATGTGAAAATCAGGGGGGCGGAAGGGGGAGGGAGTAAAAGAGTTAACTTTTTAAGGTAAAACTGAATGTTTATGGTCAACACAGGCAATCCTGACTTAAGAAAACACACAAGGTTATTTAGGTGTCAAAATTCACTGACAAGCTACTGTTATGAAAACACTTTTTAAATTATAGCTGAATAAGCATTTCCCGAGTACCTTCAAGGTAGACACTGGGCAAGATGCTAGGGATCCTCCAATGAATAAGACACTTTAAAGTAACAGTGTCCCTTTAATGCCAGTGTAATCCACCTCTTGAATTAATTTTTTAAATGCTTTCTTATATTTGAAATAGTTAGCTAACAGCACTCGGAAGAGTTGCAGAAATACACCTAACTATTTTACTAAGTATGTAAATTTCTTCTGAAGCAGAAAAGAAGGAAAAGACAAGTTCTCTGGCTTTGCATACTGCCATCACCTTCTGAAGAAAAACGGCGTAAACTGTGTGTGGTAGCAGCTGCCCCCTCCTGCTATCTGGCCGGTCACAGCCCTGAAGACACTCAAACACATGCTACATAGTTGAAGAGAAGCAGTAAAGAAAGCCCAAAGCCCGGGGCCTGCACACCTAAACAGAAAGCCAATAGGAAACTTGAGCTGCTGTAGGCGAGAGGGAGGCAGCTAGCTCCTGGAGGTTCCCCCGAAGCTGGCACCTCTGGCAGCAGGCACAAGCTGCAGCCACGGCGCTCTGGCTGGCGTGGACACGGCATGGCTTCAGAGCTGGAAGGCTGCCACCTGCTGAATCACCAGACCTCCCTGGGCTTCCCTGGAGCACTGACCACGCAGGGCCCATCCCCCGCCCTCCCCCTCCCCCCTCCTTCTCCCTGGGACCTCTCACACCCAGCCCAAGGAGACACCCTCCAGCACAGGCCAAAAGAGCCACCAGCCCTGTTAGGTCTGGGCGGCCCTAGGCAACTCCCAGCCAAGTTGCTACACCCCCAGCCCACTCCTCTCCTTCTGCCCACTCCGTGCCCCCTGAATGTCCAACCCCCAGAGAGAGCCAGGAGGCGTGGGGAGTTCACAGCACACCCGGACAGGCACTGAGCACTTCCACAGCCAGGCAGCCAGCAGAAACACCCCACCCCAACCCCCAAATCTGAAAGCAGCATAACCTGCCCAAACAGCTTTAAATGCCACGGGAGCTAGAAAAGGAGGCAGGCCCCACAGCACGACATAAACTTCCCTTTCAGGGAGCAGCCTTCATTCTTTGGTTTCGTAAGCGTGTGCAGCAGGAGCCGGTGCAGTTTTGAAGGTGAAAAGAAACATCTGAGAAGCGCCTCCATGGATGCTCTTGGCTCCCTCCAGCCTCCTCAGCCCCTGTCCCGATTTTTTTACCCGCGACTCCCAAGAGCGAGGCAAGCGTTAACCAGAACGCGCCAGACCGAGTCCGTTAGCCGGACCCGGACAGCCAGCCCATCGGCCCACCAGACACGCTGCTGCGACCCGAGCCGCTGGCTCTGCCCTTGACAAGCCCCCTCGGAATCGCGGGGACCCCTCACTCACGGGGCACAGCCGCGTCCCGGGGGGACGGTCCAGCCCCAGGATGCGCCCACGGCTCCCCCAGGCCTCACCCCGGCACACCCTCACCCACCCGGCGGGATCTGGGCGCCTCCTCCTACCTGGAGGCTGTTTGGCGACCCGCGGAGGGGAGCTCGCTCCTCGGGGACTGGGGGGTCCCACCAGCTACACGAAAGAGGGGCACAGAGCGGCCACGGCAAGGGGGAGGGGGGGTTGGGGGTTCGGAGGATCCTGACACCCTGGGCGCCGGGCCGGCTGGCCGCGATCGGACCGGGAGGTACCAACTGTCACGCCGCGGCCGCCGCCGCCGCCGCCGCCCGGGGCGTGGGGGTGGGGCCGTGATTTGGGGGGTCGATCCCTGCGGGGCTCGGCTCCCTGGGGGTCATCCGAACCCTAGCCGGGCCACTGCCCGGAGGCAAACCCGTGCCCCCGCTTCTTTGGCCCCCAACACGGTCCGCCCGCCCGGCTCAGACATCAGGCGGTCTTCCAGCCCGCACGCAGCACCTCGGAAAAGGTGCCCACGGGCGCCCCCGCCTTCCTCCCCGCCCCGACTGGGACCAGGAGCCGAGCAGGCAGCCTGCCCCCTCCGATCCCCGAGACCGGCCGCCCGCCCGGCCGCCCGGCCCCGCGCCCACTCCCTGGAGCGCCGCGCGGGGGGAGGAGAGCCGCCAGGTAGGCGCGCGGCGCGGCGCGGGCAGCACTCACGCCCCCTCGCCCCTCGGGTGCTCGCACTCGGCTCCCGGGGAGTCAGGCCCAGGCCCGAGGCGGGTGTCCAATCGCCCCTCCTTCCTCCCACCACCCCCCCCCCCCGCCCCGACATCGCCTTCTCCCCGCGCCCCACGACTCACTTGCACCGGAGTGGTAGCAGTCTCCGGGATTCCGCTCGCCGAGCCCCGCGCCGCGGACTGGGATCCGGGGTGCAGGGCAGCGTCGGGGAGCTGCGCCCGGATCGCGCCCTCCGGCCGGCTCGCAGGGCGCAGGGACCAAGCAGCCTCCGCTGGCCCTTCGCGCTCCGGTCCGTGCCCGCCGCCGCCGCTGCCTCCCCGGTGCGAAGCCTCCCTCCCGACTGGCCAGCGCGAGCCGCCGGGGCCGCAGAGCATGCCCAGTCCGCGGCCCGGGCCGCCGGCTCCCGCGCCACGCGGATCGGCTCCTCCGGGTGTTCGCGGCGGCCGGGAGGGCGGGCGGGGCGGGAGGGTGGGGCCCGCCGGGGCTCTCCCGGGACCGAGGCTCGGGACCGGACTGCGCCCCGCCGGGGAGCTGGGGTTCGGCCTCTTTGTTTTATTCTTTAAGTTTGGGACGGTCCCGGCCCCGCCTGCACACGGTCAGGGGCGGTTTGCTGGAGCCGATCAGAGCCGAGCTGCCCGCTCCGAGGCGGAGCCGGAGGGCCGGGGAGCTGGGGCTGGAGCCGGAGCCGGTCGGAACCTCGGGCTCCGGATACGAGTTGGCGAGCGCCCCGAGGTGGCTCTCCGGCACCCAGCCCGGAGCGGCGACACCTGGGATTGACTCCGGATCGAACGTGCGCTTCAAAGGGGCGGGCCTGGGGCTTCACCGATCACCTTCAAACCCTATCCGGACACGAGCACCCCAAAAGCGAGGGAGCCACCTGCGGGGCCGCCGCTGGAGGCCTGTGGGGGCGCTGAGGAGGCGGGGCCCGCGGTCACCGGTGCGAGTCTCCTGAAGCCCCCGCCCCGCCCGCCGGGCCCCGCCCCCCGCCGGCCCCTCGGAAAACCCGGAGCGTCCGCCGCGCATGCCCAGTAGCGCGCGCCGGTGCCGGTTGCCCCGAGGAAGGTTTTCTTCGAAGGACCCCCTGCGCGCGGGTCGGGGGGCGGTCGCCGAGGAGAGGCGACCTTCCGCCGCGGCGCCCTTCCTCCCCGGGCCTCGCGCGATCCCCCCCTGCAGCAGCAGAAGGGCTGCCCGGGGAGCGCCTCCCACGGTGTCGGAGACTCGCCTGGCGGGGGAGGGGGCGCACGACGATATCGCGGGGACACGTGACTGTCCGTGGCGCTCCGGGCAGCCATCTTCCGCCCGCCGGGCCCTCGGCGGCCGCGGGCGATCGGGATGGAGAGGGAGCGCACGGCGCGGGGAGAGGGGAGCCGAGCCGAGCGCCCTGGTCCCCGCCACGCCCTCCCGCGGGGCTCTGGCCTCCTCTCCTCCGCACCTGCCTCCGCCCCCGTTCCCCCGGAGGCGCTGGGGTCCTGGCACTGCCCGCCCCGGGCAGCTCCCACCAGGCGGGGAGCCGGGGCTGGGGAATCCGGGGCGGGCTCCGGGTCGGATGGCCTCCGGTGGACATTGGAGGAAGGGGCCCCCTTTGGTGAGACGGCCATGCCGCTGCTCCAGCTGCCTCCCTGGGCTGCCCGGACCCTGCAGAGGAAGTGCCATGTGTTGGCAGAAACACCTGGACAGAGTCGGTCGCTGTTCCCTGCGACTATTTCTACTGTTCCCTAAACTATTTCTACTTTATTCCAATTTCATAAAATAATTCAGGAGGGGAGAAAAGCTGTAAGTTTTTAAATAAAAGACAATAGACGCAAAATTAAGTCACTTATGTTAAGTCCCACATCAGCCCCTTCCGGTGGGCAGCTTGGATGGGGATATTTATTGAGCTCCTGCCACGAAGCAAGCACTTGGGGGTCCCCGTGATCTCAGGACCAGGCTTTTGACCGTCAGAGGAGAATGTGTTAGGATTGCAATATTCTACCACGGAATGGGACATGCAAAGGGTGGGATGCTGCGGTCTCCTTAACAAGCTCTCCAAGTGGTTCTCCTAAACCCGTGGTCGGCAAACTTGCTGGTCCCGAGCCACATGCGGCTCTTTGGCCCCTTGAGTGTGGCTCTTCCACAAAATACAACGGCCTGGGCAAGTCTATTCTGAAGAAGTGGCGTTAGAAGAAGTTTAAGTTTAAAAAAGTGTGGCTCTCAAAATAAATTTCTATCGTTGTACTGTTGCTGTTTGGCTCTGTTGACCCAATGAGTTTGCCGACCGCTGTCCTGGACATATCAACTGAGCCTCAGGGCCGCCCCCTTCACAAGTCTGCCTTTCTAATGTTATATTGTTGATCCTAAAAGACAGTGAGCAGTGGGTAAGTCAGAGCGAGCCAGCCTGCCTCGGTGCAGCTGTTTAGCGCTGGCTTCTTCACCCCGTGACACTAGATTGCTCTTCTCCCGGGGAGGAGAAGGTGCAGTTGTCACGTCGGACTTTAAAATAACTGAAATTGAGTTCATGTATTGAGTATCTACTGAGAGTAAGGCTCACGGAGTTACAGAAGCCCTACTGAGTTTTCCTCAGTTTGCACAAGAGGTCAAAGAGTTTGCTTTTTTGTAATGTAAATTTTTCTAATTAAGGAAATGCCCGAAAACCACTAGCTGGTTTCTCTGGAGTGCTATTTGTGCCATGTCGCTTAAGCTTTGTTTGGACTTCCTAAAAGTAAGCTTCAAGCATCTGGTGTAGACTTGGGTCAAGGAATCTTTAAATTGATTGTAAGTGGTTTTACTATGGTGCTCATATTTTTTTTTCTAATTTTCTGTGTTTGAAATTGTTATAATAAACATTTTAAATTGTTTTCCATGAGTAACTTTAAGACTATTTATATGAAAAAAGCCAGGTATAAAACTATTTCTACTTTATTCCAATTTCATAAAATAATTCAGGAGGGGAGAAAAGCTGTAAGTTTTTAAATAAAAGACAATAGACGCAAAATTAAGTCACTTATGTTAAGTCCCACATCAGCAAACCAAGACTTAATAGCTAACTCATTGCAGTTTCAGCTCTTCCAGGAATGTAACTTTTGACCACTGAATCTGAAATCACCTGACCCACACTAGTGAGGTAATCTTGTTTGATAGACTACACCCTTCGCTCAAAGGAGGGTGCCTGGCCTGAAACAATCCTCTTTTTGTTAAAACTTCTTTCTTTTGCCCCCTTCTGCTTATAAAAGCCTTCCATTGTATACAACTCCTCAGAGGTCTTTCTGTTTGCTAGATGGGATGCTGCCCAATTTGTGATTTTTTTAATAAAGAAAATTTGATCTTTACATTTACTCAGTTGACTTTTGTTTTTTAACAGATTTGGTGGCAGTGGTGGGATCCAAAGCAAACTTTTTTTAAGTCAATTTTGAGAGAGAGAGAGAGAAACATGGACTTACTGCTCCATGTACTTATGCACTCATTGGTTGCTTTCTTGTATGTACCCTGACCGAGGATCAAACCTGCAACCTTGGCATATTGGGACGACGTTCTAACCGACTAAGCTACCCAGCCAGTGCCAAAGAACACTTCTGACAGCATTTAGGGACAAGAAACAGGCCTAGCACCCACAAACCCCTTTTGAGTTCTCTGCCTTTGTAACCATTTCCAAGCGCCATGAATAAGTTCTTCTTTATTCCAACCTCTACTCTCTTTGCCTAGAGCTCCCAGTCTACTTGGCTTTCAGATACCAAGCAAATCAGCTAAAGCTGACAAATGATTCTACCCAGAGCCCAAACCCCTAGCCTTTCTTACAGACACGAGTCTCATTTAACTGGTTGAAAACTCCATCCCTTGATTCTGTCCCAAGATCCACATGGGTTGGCAGTTTGCAGTTCCCCATTTATGTAGAGCCCCTAGTCTGTAGTCCCCATTTGTTAAGATCAGCTGGTTCCTCAATTTTCCCTCAATACAAGCGTCACAATGGGAATTGTTATTAGAGAATTGTATGGATGGTCTTTCTCCATTGATAATGAGAGGGGGGTTCCATTGGAATAAGAATTTCAGGAGGATGAGATGTGGTAGAAAATCCCTCCGTTTCCGAAGTCCCATTTCCTTAATCCAGTCCTGAAAGAGGTGCAGCTAGGGATTCAGCAGAGCTAGGAGCAAAGCCAGAGTCCAAAGTTTGTTTCATGGTAGATGGGTCCAGTTTAGCATAAGACTAGTCACAATCCATCAGTCTGTTTTGTGGGGGCAAATGCAAGAGCTTGAGAGCCCCACAAGCCAGGAGCACAAACCAAAAGAAAACAGTGTGAACAAAGAGAGGGAACTCCTTTGTTTAGGAGCTTATGTATTTCAAATCTAGTATTTACAGAGGCCACGCCTACTCTGGCCAATGCCCTGTTCTCAGGTGCGACTGACAAGCAAGTACCTTCCCTATGTCATCCAGACTTCACTGAGCATGCGTCTAATATTTGGCCTTTCCTTTGTTCCTTTCCAGTTAATAACCGGGATTATTGTAATAGTATCAAAATATTATTAAAATTCTTCAGCCATAAGAGCGGGTAAACTTTTTTTTTTTTTTTTAAATATATTTTATTGATTTTGTACAGAGAGGAAGGGAGAGAGATAGAGAGTGAGAAACATCGATGAGAGAGAGTCATCAATCAGCTGCCTCTTGCACACCCCCTACTGGGGATATGCCCGCAACTAAGGTACATGCCCCTGACCGGAATCGAACCCGGGACCTTTCAGTCCCCAAGCCGACGCTCTATCCATTGAGCCAAACTGGTCCCGGCAAGAGCGGGTAAACTTAACTTACATAGTTTACAGTTGGGAGTGCATGGAACAGATTTTTTCTTTATTATTTATTAATTATTGTACTATTTGCATTACAACTATAAACCTACTTTTGCTCGCCAGTTATCCAAATGCCAAAACAAAATCTGGATCCAAATGTTCTCTTATAAACTAGTGAGTTTCATATTATTGTACAAATGACAAATTTTAGAATGAAAGCATAAGATTTCTGTTTGCATCTGTCTGTTTTTGCATATATATATATATATATATATATATATATATATAGTATATATATATTTCCTCTATATATATACATATATGATATATGATATATATATGTGTGTGTGAATATATATATATAATGGTATTTTTTACCTCCAGGTGATTTTGCCAAAATTAATGTGTAAGACAATTTATTTAATTAACTTAAAGATAATTAAATGCTTGTATAAATTAAACACTGAGAAATATGAAAGAAACTAAGCTAAATGCTTTTAAGTTCACTTGATCTAAA